TTCCTGTCTCTGTAAATAGCACCATGATCCTCTGAGCTACAAGATAGCAGGATAACAGCTCCATCATCTCCAGGCTGCAGAATAGGCTCCACCCTTAATCCTGCTGAGTTTTGAGTCTTCCTTTGAAGCGGCTGTGTACACTCCTTGCTAATTACTGGCCATGATCTGAAAGTAGTATCATAATTTTTAGATTTCCATACAAGTCTCCTAAACACCATCACTAATTAATAAAACAGTTGAGTCAGAGGGCTTCTGAGGTAGACTTGGGTCAGATCCCCAGAACTCATTTACTGTGACATCAGGAACATTACCCAAATTTGTTTCCTCAAGTGAGGATACTACTTCCCTTTGAAAGTATGTTGCAAGGAATGACACATTCTTGTAAAGGTCTTAGCACAATGCTTTTTACTAGGTAAGAATTGATATTTGAAAACTGGATTATAAACCCTTTGAGCATGAGACTAAAATTTTTTTTTTTGGCATACTGGGACTTGAACTCAAGGCCTTCACCTTGAACCACTCCACCAGCCCAATATTTTGTGATAGGGTTTTTTGAGATAGTATCTCACAAACTATTTGCCTAGGCTGGCTTTGAACTGTGATCCTCCTATCTGTGGCTCCTGAGTAGCAAGGATTATAGGCATGGTCTCTGAGACTATACCTCTTATAACTACTTTAGCTCACAAGCACTTATAAACACTAAACATTGCACTTGCCAGGTAGGTACTCTCTTGCTTGAGCCATACCTCCAGCCCTTTTCCTCTGGTTATTTTGGAGATAGCACCTTGCTTTTGCCCAGGACAACCTGAACAGCAATTCTCCTGTATTAGGCTTCCTGACAGCTGGGGTGATTGGTACACACTACCACATACCACGTGGGGGCTCACAAACTTTTTTTTTTTGTCTATTCTGTCCTGGAACCACGATCCTCCCAATCTCAGCCTCCTGTGTAACTTAGATGAGATATATACTGTATTTTAAGACTCTTCTTAGACGTTAATCCTCAAGGTCACAGAGTAAAGGAAGTTTTAAAAGCCACGGACAAAATGCAATTTGCCATGCCAATCAAAAAATGCTATACCTTAAACATCTGAATGTAGCAACCTGTTTCCTTTCCCCATAGCAGTCTTTATAACACACCAAGAAAAAGATCTGAAAGGCAACATGAAAGAATGCAAAGTAAAAGAGGCAGAGCTTGGCCCTGTTATTTTAGCTTCCAGTTTGGGTTAGACCACCTTTTATCTCAGCAGACCCTATCAGCTTTAGGGAGTTGAGAAAGGCCAAATGGAGCCTATAAGAAGAAAAAGGGAGACAGCTACTAAGGGCTGGCCCTAGGCACAGTTTAAAACAAAAAATTTAGCCTGACAAAGAGGATGTATGGTACTTCACAGTGCAGAAACTATGTGAAAATCAGTTAGGTGTCCATACACAGATGTTTCATCTAAACATGTCAGATAAATACAACTTTCATATCCATGGCTCCAGGATCTGGGGATCCAACCACTGCAGACTGAAAAATCTTCAGGGGAAAAAAAAATCCATCTGTATGGAGCACATAAAAACTTGTTCTTCCAGTCATTATTCCCTAAATAATACAGAACTACATGGCATTTATGTCTTAGATTTTACAGATGGTTTAGTGTGAATGGGAGGTTGTGTGCAGGTTATGTGTAAATACTATGTCATTTTATATGAGACTTATGCATCTTTGGATTTTGGTATTTGGAGAGGAACGGGGTCCAGGAACCAATCCCCCTCAGATAATCAGGGACCGAGAAAGCATGGAAAAATGTCTGCCCATCATCTCCTCCCTTAGCCCTCTTCGCCAGGGTCAGAAGGGGAGAGGATCTTAGTCAAATACCTGCACAAAGTCAGTTATTATGTGTTCTTGGAAAGTGGAGGTAAGTCGGTCCTCATACCATCTGGGGGAGTATAAATGGAAACAGCTATTTGGAAAGGTGATTATGAATCAAGAACTAGAATTATGCACACACCCCTCCAAAACTGCACCTATACTAATGTATTCTAGAGAAGTAAGTTGTGCAGTCACTGTAGTATTGTGAGCAACAATCTAAAATGTTCAATAGGGAAAGGTTATAGGAATCATTACATAGCCACAAAATAGATTATCATAATGATTAACAAGTTTTAAATGACATAAAGTGGCTGGAGACTGAGGGGAAAATCAAGGTGCAAATAGTATTGAGAATGAGTAAAACTACATAAAATATGCATAAGTAGCAGAGAGATGGCATGAAATATGTAACAATATTAAAAGTGAAACTCTTTTCCCCGGGTGATATCATTAGAGGCCATTGTTGCTTTTCTTTTAATTTTCTCTATTGTCTAAATTTTCCACGATGAGCATACACTACTTTCTTGTAACTTCTGAGCAGAAAGGGAAATAAAGTCCTAAGGTGGTTTACCTAGGAATCATAATGCTAGTGCATATATATAAACCTTATGCATGAAGCTATTTGCAGCATGAATTGTTTCATGAAGCTACCAAGAGAAGTCCTTCATATGTCTTGGTTAAGGGACTGTAAAAGAATTAAATGCAGTCCCTTCCCTTAAACAAGATACTCCAGATAATGACTGACTGGGTTTCCATCTAAGTCAACAACAAGGACCCCTTTATTCTATTTTGACCTGGTTAAGCAAAAATCTGGGGTAGCAAAATATACTACTAAAATGTCAGGATCTTTGTAAAAACACTAAGTGACCAGGCTAAAGAAAGCATAATGGCTTAACAATCATGATATTGTCATAGAGCTGAAGGCATTGAAAAAAGTATTTACCTTCAAATACAAAAGGTAACTCCCAACTTTAGGATTAAAAACTTCAGTTCATTTTTAAAAATGTTTGTGACCTGTGTAAAATAAAAATTTACATATAATTTCACTGTAAAGCACCAAAAACAAACACTAAAACTATTCACATAAAATAGTGACAAAGAGCACTGGGTGTGGTGACTCATGCCTGCAATTCCAGCACCTGGGAGGCAGAAGCAGGAGGATTTTGAGTTTGAAGACGGCCTGGCTACTTAGCAAGTTCAACATCAGTGTGAACTACACAGCAAGACCCTGTCCAAAAAGATGAAGCGCTGGCAGTGTAATTCAGTGGTAGATCGCTTGCTTAGAACGAACAATACCCTGGGTTTCATCCTTAGCACTGAAAAAACAAAAAGGTGACAAAGAACCATATCGAAGTTACAAAATCACCGAGGTATCAATTATAAGAACAAACTAACTTCTATTAATATTTTCATTTCCTTAATAAAACTGTTGATTAAACTGGGGGAAAGGGAGTCTCTGAGACTCTAATGGGTAACAAAATGATAACAACTATGCATAATTTCTTTATTAACAAATTATACCACACAAATCAGTTTACTTTTTCTGATTACAGAGTTAACAGAAATTGTATCTGTACTTACAGCAGCAACATAAAATCCAACTAGGAAAAAATTCTGTATCTAGACAAAAACTGTCGCCTGTAGTACTGCTACTGTGCACTACTGTTTTTGAGTGTTGGGGCTGGCTTTGCTATTCCACACCTTGGCAGCCCTTCCAAGGGATAGGGCATCAAATACAGGATGATGGAGCCAAAGAAGGAATGATGTGGAAAATCACACATTACACCAGTACAAAAAGAGCATACAAAGGCCATAAAAACTTGAGACGGTATTAAAAACCAATCAGGGACAAGTCAGCTCCTGGGAGTCACACCAATTCTAAAGTACTGTGTCCTTGTTATAATCAGAAATGGAGGGTCCTCACCTGGCACTTCTGTTTGGGAAAACAATTAGTTATATTAGCCATTAAAGAAAAAAAAAGTTTTTCTTTGAAGTGGATACAGCTTAGGGAGAAAAAGCTAAGCATCAGGAGGAAGTACTAAATCCTTTATAACTCAAAATGACTTAGGAAGCCTAATGAAGCAAACTATAAAACTTGGAAGAAAACATTTCTCTATGAGTAAACCCCAATTTTCTGAGGGATTCAAAATCAAATACACCATAGAAAACTCGTTTTCAAAGAGCACCCTATATAGCCACAGGGGCGAGTGTTTCATGGCAGCCTGGCATGAGACAGGCAGTAGGACTTTGGGCCTCTCTCTCTAATCCTTCTTCACTTAAATCCAAACATTTCTAATTTTGTTTCATCTTTTGTGGCTTTAAGAAAGATTTCCTTTTCAAAAACGGGAAAAGATCTGAGGTTATTTCTTTATCCTTTGCCACTGTCCTTTCCTTAAATTTGAAAATAACTGCTGAGACAAATTATATTGGCAAGAAGCATGATCAAAGAACTAAAAAACACATTTTTGTGTCGGGGCCACTAAAATGTGAAAGTTTCACCCAAGATTGCATATTATATTTTGTAAAATAAATGAGCAAATTTAAGTTCTTAAAAAGAAACTGAATTTTGTTATTCCCACCTCCCCTAAATCTGTTCTTTCACTATCTTCGAACTGTCAGTATTTCTGGACATTGTGTGAAGAAAATTCTAACAACTATCCCAACCACACCTTTACCCCAAAAATATTTCATTCAAAGGCTGCATAGAATTTCTTTCTTAAGAAGGCAAGCCCCACATTCACAGAGAACTCTAGAATGAGAATCTACAGTTACTAAAAATAACACATTATGTCAGGGCAGAATCTGCATAGTGTTCTTAAACACAGCACTCACAAAAGAGCAACCAGATCCCAGCACTTCACTCTGCATATGTCAGCAAACAAGGTCAAAGCCCAAATGACAACCAGGGAAAAATGCACAACATGGATGCTATTTTCCTTATGGCCTCATGAACAGTAGAACTGCAAGAAGAAAAGTGTAACCCAAGCTCTAGCCATATATTAAAAACTCCATTACTTCAACAAAATAGAGCAAATTTCTATGGAAAGGACTCATTCCGCAAACACGACTTCTTTCCATCTATTTTTTCCTTCACATTAAACAGAAGTTGCTGACATTTTAGAGTCAATGATTACATCGTTTTTAATTAGAAAAGTTTAAATATTTACATCATTTTATTGCTGTTTATTGTAACAAAAAATTTCGACTGAATTGTAGAATCCATCCAGTAATGTATGAAATTGAAATCCACCACTCAAGAAGACACTGCTATGGCTGAACTGATGCTCAGCATATGACACGAGTAAGAAGTCCTTGCATGTCATTTGGTTCTTGCTGGAGTCATCTGTGTTCATCTCTCAGAAAGCAAAAGAATCCATCTGACGTTTCAATAAATATCAAATTGCCAAAAAAAAAAAAAAAAAGAAAAAAAAATTGCTTGAAGGACTAGAAATCCAAGAAAGAGCAGTTTTGATGAATGATTCCCAGAATCAAGTGAGTCCTTCTTTAGTCCAATGAGATGATGTCAGGAATGTTACTTCCACTGCTGGTTATGACCCCTGTCTCACTCCTGCTGCTGGATGAACTAACATGAGTACTGCTTTCATGGGGGCTGGTGGTGGTGACAGACGTACTGCTTGCTGTTAAGGATGAGGTGAGACTATCCAAAAACATAGGAGGACAGTACTGCTTGAAACAAACAATGATGCCAATGAGGAAGAGGCTACATTGGTTTTAAATAAAGAGACTAGAAACTGTTAGAAATGTACAAGTGATAGTCAAATACTTAAATCTTCCTGGGCTTTAAAAATATCTCAAAACTCTACGTCTTTGGGTAGAAGATAGCATGAATTTAGCTATTTGACATTCTTTTTTGGTTCTTTCAAAAAATGTGAGAAACCTGTTTGTTGACCATATATAGACATAAGAGTACAAGTAATGTCAATACTACCAAAGTCATTTAATATTAAATACTGGTCCCACACTTATGACTCACACTTAACCTCAAAGTAATTTGGTCACTGAGTATATTTAGACAAGGTTTAAAAACACACTGTGAAAGGCTATTAAGTACTTATCATGAGTATCATGCAAAAATGCTAATGCAGAATTCAACACTTTTTTAAAAGTTAGTACCAAATAGACCCTTTATGAGCATTAAGTGACCAGCTGAATGATGGCACTGGACTCCTCTGTACATACATAACAATACTCAGGTAATTAGAGTGTAAACATTCTAAAAATGGAGACTACAGGGTAGCTAATTACAAGATGTTCAGACAGAGAATCATCATATAATCACAAAACTCTGAAATGCATCTTAAAGGAGATCTAATATAATTGTCCTTGTAATGCTTGCATGATATTCCTCTCCAAGAGCTCATATTTTAAGCTCTTTCACCATCCTGGTTGCTGATTCTCAAACAAATACAAGTTTGAGTGTAATATCCCAATATTAACTATAAGGAATACAAAGATTCAAGAGCTAAACATTATTTTGTACATCATTATAGAATATCTTACATGAGAAACAACCGCACTGATTTTAGCAAAAGTGATATCTAGTACTGTGTACTGAGATGTCTTAAGTTTGTCTTTAGACTCTAAGATCAGTAAGGGTATCTGATTAATATTATCAATCCTATTATCATTCAGCTTATCCTTAGGGATGCTGAATTATGGAACAGTAATTTAAAACAGAAGTTGTTTAGACTACCTGATCTGTAAGGTAGTATATTTATGTCTATATAAAATGGGAACAACAGCTCCAAGTTTAGGCTATCAGAGGAAGAACAATTAGAATTCAGGATGCCTTTCACCAGAGTAAGTTATTTAATGCTTTGGATGGATGACAACTGGCTCATCAATAAAATTAACACCATACACAAAGAGATTCAAGGAACATTCATTAAAAGAAAAGTTTGTAAGAAGTTTTAAAGATAGTTAATTTTTCAGATACTAAAAATTCCTCTCCAAAAGAAAATCAACTTCTAACTTCCCTAATCAATCAATTTTACTAAAACTGAAGGGGAAATCTAAAGAAAAAAAAAAAAAAACCCAGAAACATATTTTATTCCTGCTACCTTTCAGGCTGTTCTTGACTGTCTCATAGAAAAAAAGATATTCCTCTTCATTTATAAAATGAGCACCAGATCCTACAGTCCCGCTGCCAATGGACTCCATGCCCTGAATTTTTACACTTGAGTTGCAGCCATTTTACTTTTTTTGGTGGAACTGGGGTTTGAACTCAGGGCTCTGAGCTTGAAAATCAGGCACTCTATCACACGAGCCACACCTTCAGTACGCCAATTTACATTTGACACTATATCCCTTATGTATTCATCTGTATGAGGATAACAAAGATTATGGTGATAAAGAAACCCTAAAGAGTCTCTGGTATATGAAAGCACAATCTTAACCATCCTACCAACTTACCAAATAAATCAGCCTGTCACACAGAACTATAAAATAAAAACTTTGGGTTTCAAGATCATTTTTCTTTCTAAGTATTGTTCACATAAAAACTGGTAATCCTTTAAAGCCTGAACAATCTATATTCTAGAAAAAACAGATACCATTGCTATAAAAGCCACTGATGTAACAAAGTCAAGTTGGTATGATAAGAATTTCCTCAGTCTGCAATTTTCCTGTGCCATTTGTGTGATCAGACATAAAGTACTGGACCAGAAGGCCCTTTTATAGCTGATTCTAGGTGGCCTATGAAGCAGTGGCTCATGTTTCTTCCTCTATCCCTCCCTAGGTGCCATACCTGCTTTTAAAAGTTTCTTTTCTTTTGGTACTTCACCTTGCCCTTTCTTCCTCTGCTCTAAGCCTGTCATGGGAATCCATGCTCATTACATGGTCTTCAGGTTGGGACTTTGGGATACTAGTAGAATTTCTTATCTTTGGCAGAGAAAAGAGATATCACAACTTTCAACTGGGGCATTCCGCAAAGTCTGAATCTGACTCTCTTATAAGCAATGGAGAATTTAGGCAGTTAGTCAAGTTTATTTAATGAGTTTTAGTTGTTGATTTTTCTATGTATCCTACAATTCATTGTGTAAAATAAAATTTTGCCATAAAACTAACTCTAGCCACCTAGTAGCACTTCCACTCATCGTAATCTTTCAAATGCTTGTTATAAATACCAACTGATTATACTCAATATTATTGAAACTTATGTATTAAGGACAAAAAATTTATGAATTGAAAAAACAGTAACTTTATTCCTTCAAATAAAATTGTGAAATAGTTATACTCCTTTTCTATTAATGTAATTAACTGAGAGTTGACTGTCCTGATTTTATGCAACTGGTCATTTTTAGTTAGTATGACATAACTAACAATCAAATACAAATTAGTTGCTTAAATTCAGGATACATACCTGGGGATCAACTGGAATAAGGGAAAGAAAATCCAAACCTAAAACAAAAATGTTTTGTTAATATGTGTCTCATAGCTTGGAGACTAGAATTATTTCCTCAAATCATTTGGTATTTATGAGAAATCACAAAATATTTGGAATAAGTGCTGACCACTCTGCCATAGAGAAGTTCTATAACCATGATCAGTGATATTTAATGTGTCCAAAACCCAAAGATGAACATGTTCCCTGACTAAGCCACTGGAAAATCCACCTCCCAGGAATATTAAACTAGCAGTCTAAGCAAATATTTTTCTTTTATCAATAGAGAAGCAAAAAAAAAAAAAAATCTCTTCAGACCATAAAAAAATACTTAGGTTCTTAAGATACTTCACATTTATTTTTCAAAAATACACCACAGTGAGGTTCATCTAAAATAGCACTTTTAAACATGTTTCTATTTCATTGATAGCTCTCTATCCCCATTCCCACATGAAGATTAGCAAACAGTCCAAAGCTCTATCCAAAGCAAGCACTTGGTAACTGCTGACCATTAACAAGCTAAAGTTAATGAAAGGCAAAGTTAATAAAGGGCAAAGGAAATCACAACATAATTCTCTAAACCAAAGGACTGGATGAAATTCTGTAATTGTATTTTACAAACAGGAGTGTGGAAAGCGTTGCCTGCCAGTATCATTCTTAAGTATTAAAATAAAAGTAAAAGAACTTTAGATCTGAAAATCAAGTAATAAACTTCAGAGTGAGTTCCCCTAGATATCCCTGTATTGCCAAATTCTTTTCAATTATTTCAAAACATTAAAAAAGAAATAATGTACTAAATATAAATCATTAAGATAGGCCAGTGTCTATTCAAGTCCATGAATTTTTGTATGTTGTCAATGTCACATCAAATGCAGCAACCACACAGAGTCAGTCTGATACTATACTGTTCTCAAAATATATTAGTACGGAGGATATTTGAAATATTTAATAATCACTATGAATACTTTTAACTTAAAAAAATTTAAATATATTCCCTTGTCTCTAAATGAGGGTATTTTAAAATAATCAATGATACAAACTATAGCACCAATCATTTAAGAAATCACTGAAACAATTTCTAAAGCATTTAAAAATTGTTGCTATAATTTTTCACTTCTATTTGTTAATAGCTATATTATATAGCAGTTTGAGTCAAGAATGGGTAAAGGGAATCATAATGCATTTGTCCAATTACTTCCCAATTAAACTGATGACAGTGCTTCTCTTCACATTAATGATGTTCAATAAATGCTTTGTCTGCTTCTGAACAGTAATTCACTCTATGTTAGCCTGCGTATACTTTCTGAGTGTGACTAAGCCATAAAAAGCTTATTGCAATGCTACTTAATTGGCTTAATCTATTAATTTTTGTTTTGCTTTAAATAGTATAACAATTTTCTTCATTTTTATACTAGCTTCTACTTTTTAATCACTTTGTAGTTTTATATGTTCCATCATTTTTAAGGTTTATTACTTGGTCCATTTTAATAACTGAAACTAAAGTACTACATCTCCGATGGAATACTGTATGCTGAAACTAAATCACTAGAAAATGTTCATCTTCCAAATGTTCAACTACTCCCATTTTATAACTTCAATTTAAATAAATACACAGGCTTAATATAATATTCAAACTGGTATTTTAGCTCTATCATTGTAAGATGCCCATTGAGATTAAACAACTTTTCCTATTTTAATTACTGTAATATCAAACTGTCCCGATGAATTCCTTTGATGGTTTCAAGTATGCCAGCAATGTAAAGTGTGTATTTAGCAAAATAATTAAGTGATTTATTTGATCTGTATCTTTCGACACCCCATCAGCAGTTAACTGAAATAATATGACTTACACAATGCCAAAATAAAACTGACATTTCTCTAAAATTTTGGTTGAAACTCTACAGATTGTCTTCAAAGCATTTCACGGGTGCTGTTATACAAAATCCAGTAGGGTTTCAATGTATATGTTTCTCAATGAAACCATTTTGCCTCAAGCACTCAGCAGTTAAGTTTTGTATAGTATTTCAGATGTATTCTTTCCAATAAAAAGAACTATCATCAAAATTTTATACTATTTACATTTAAAACTCTTACATGAAATATAATTTCATCAATATTGATTAAAAACTGTACTGTCTTATTTTATAAGTTTAGCAAAATGCTACTTATTTCACCATAAGTGTCAATTGTACCATTATCATACTGGTATCATAATATACCATTCTTTGCCCTCATAAGTATTCTATGGTTGAAAATGTTCAATTATTTTTTAACTGAAAATCAAGCAGTGCTAAAAATTCTAATGGTATATTCTAAATGTTTTTGTTTTATTAACAATGATAAAATGATAATTTTTGAATTTTAAATCCTTCATTAAGTAAAATGGACTCATTATTTATTTTTTTCCGTCACTGAGAACACATTTTCCCTTGATTCATACACTTTCATAAAACATAACTCCTACATGATAAAATATGTAAAGTTTTATCACTTTCAAATTTTAATGATACAACTTTTGAGCACCATTCACACCTGACAATATGCACTAGCAATAAGGCAGTCATATTTTTTTCTTGAAATAATCAAGCTGTTTTTCATTCCATAAATACAAATTATTTTATTTTGTATTCATTGTTGCACAGTATCAGAAGATGTTCCAAGATGCGGTTCATTATTAATATCATTTCTTCTTTGTTCTCCTGCAGATTCAGAAGATTCATATTTATGATGTTTAAAAGGAATGTTAAGAAATGTATTAAACTTTGTCATTTCTCCATTCTTGGTATTCTATTTAATGTTTTATCATAAAATTATTAAATTTATTAATACCAAAACTCTCCATGACTTATTACATAAAAATGAGACAAAAATTACTAATTATGAAAGAACACATTAACAATAAAACCAAAGTAAAATCTAAACTATTTAGATGTAATACCTACTACATAATTCACACTCAACAGTAAGTTGGCAATTCTTCCTAAGGATACTTGAGCCTATTCTATTTAAGTTAACCAACTGGTGAAAAAGCTTTCCAACATCTTAACATCCAGGTATTGGCTTATACTGACTAAATATCAGCCCTAGATGTTAGCATAATTTCCATCACCAGATTGAAATGCATTTCACTTATATACATAGTTCAGACTTGTTTTTCTCAATCTGCACAGTTTTTAAAAGACATAAAACTCACTTTATGCTCAAATTTTCAAAAAATGCAAATTCTCCCAGATAAAAAAAAATATTCATTCATACGCTCAGTTTGAAAAGCAGCAGGGCAAGTGATTTGTAAACTTTCTATACTATTGCTAAATGGCAGAGTCACTTTAATAAACAGAAGTTCATTAAACTTTTTTCAGGATTAATTTTTAACTCAAGATACTAAGGAAACAAATGTTTTTGGAATGCTTACTTATAGCATATACTAAGATGATAGTGATACATTGCAACATTCTTCAAACTAGCCCAGGTTAAAGAAACACATGATATTAGGCATTAACAATATTTCAGTTTCCACCTTCGTCATGGACCATGAACTCTCTCACCTATGTCATAGCTCAGTCTTTGCACACAACAAATACCTTACTGGTGGTTAGCTTAGGTTAGCTTATTTTACAATAACACTTTTAAAAATACTAATTTCAAAATTACATTCATAAGTCTTTTTTGTTTTTTAATGAAGAGTTTTTGGATAGATACTATTTTTAGTATACTCTTTTTCACTAAATTTTATTTGAGTAATCAAAACTAAATTCAAATGGCAAAATTATACTAGGTTAGATAACGCAGCTATCAATTATTTTGATGACACAAACTTTGTCTAACAGAATAAACACAATGCTTAAACTAAGGGGAAGAAGAAAAGTAAACTATAGGTCCAAAACCAACTTCATAAATCTAGAAAGTAACATGAGGGAAGTAAGTTCCATTAAAATGACCTTCATAAAGCGGGGAAGTCATCAATATAAGACGCACTGGTTCTAACTTGCTCAAGTCTGATTGACAAAAATGCGTGCAAAAACGTCAATAGAGTAAAAGGGGGAAAGTTTAAATTTTGTATTACAGCCTTGGTTGTGTAAGTTCTGGTTCTAAAGTAATTCGAGCAACCCTGAATTTTAAATGCAGTTATACATATAAAAACATCCCTAAATATTAAGCTCTACCCTAGAGAAACACATGGTAGACCTCATCTTTAAGTAGGAAAAGTTCACAGGATAAAGGTGGTAGGCCAAATCAGGCCCAGACTACAACATTCTCTCAAGTTCTGATGGGCTACTAAGAAGGGATAATGAATACCAAGAGAAAATATTCTCCCTAACCTGAGAAGCTACTATGGTAAATAAACCAAGAAAAAGCCTGAATACAAAATCTATAGAAGGGAGAACACAATCTAAAGTTTCCCTACTATTCTCCTATATTTCCTGTCATCAGAACCTATAGATTGCATGGTAGTTAAGATGATAACTGAATACGATGTACTAAAACAGTAATACTCTTACATGAAGCCTTCAAATTTCTTTAGCACTTCTATTCAAAATGTCAAAACTTATTTGCTCCACTGATTAGGATTAAAAATAAATAATAAAACTTAACAAAAAAAATGAAAACAAAAACTCTCCACGTACCTGGCAAATCTGATGACATGCTTGATATTGGCGTGTGGTGGAATGGTACTGAGTAGTCTGTTAATGAAGGTGGAATAGCGGCAGGATCAACCGAAGTCACACTGGGCACCCTTACAGAAGATGGCTGATACATGAGAACCCTGTTTTAAATAGCATGGGAAATTATAATCTGGCTGTTAGTTCACAAGAGAGAAGAGCTTGACCTCTGGGCATTCTCAGTGTATGCTCACTAAGCCTAAGCACAATTCAATGGCAGCTATTCACTATATAGTATTCCACACTCTACTCTTAACAGTCTTCATTTTTACATAAATGTATCTTGGCTCTCAATAGCAGTCTGACATAAGAGCAAGCTGGCATTAAAACATCATGTACAGTGCTAGAATAAGACATAATTCTTTTGTCAACAAACACCAAATATACTTTACATTTATGTTTATTAATGTATATGTATGTGGATATTAGTAACTTATCTATAAGGAGATTTAATACCAAAATAGAGCATTCTTAAGGTATGGCTTAAATCAGTGCACCTTTGAGTGATGCTACTCATACTAGCTCAACCAGAATTTTTCAACTCTTAATATGATTTATATTAATTATTTGAAATGCTATCTGGGAAAGATCTCAGCAAAGTTGGCTAATCCTAAAGTTAGCCAACCTGATGGCAGGAGGGAGCAATCAGAAATTAGGATAAGATGACCAGTATTGGGATTTCAGATATAATAACCAAAAATAAAAATGCTGGTTACCATGACATTATCTATTCTTCAAAGAGGAATTAGCTGTTTCATGCTATTAAAAATACAAATTAAACATAAAATATTTTGTAATTTAGTAGTATATAAAATATATACACACAATGTCAGTAACACTATGTAATTTCAATAAGCAGCATAATTAAAAATAGAACATTTTTTTAAAAGTTCAGGCTTAAAGAGAGACCATTTTGCGCTCTTCGTATTTAACCTGCATTTTCTCTTAGCCCAGGAGAAAGAAGCTAGAACTTCACAAAAAAAAAAAAAAAAAAAAAAAACAGCTTGAATGTGTGTAATAAACTATGCAATATTATTGACTCTATGAAGGCCAAATTACCAAAACGGAATGAGATGTAATGTACTGTTAAAAAAAATTTTTTTTAAAGTGCAGCTTTCTTAGAAATTTAAAGTAGGGCCATGGTGACAAAGCTAGCCTGGGATGACAATTCAGGACCTCTAGACATCCGTTCTCTTGGTTGAAACTTTGTATTATTGCTCAAATTATTAAATAGTAGTAAAAAATGATAGCATATCTGCACAACTCTTCATACTCTAAATAACTGACAAACTATTTCCTTGATTTAAATGTCAAATCACCAAAGTAACCAGAATACAGGCACTGGGTCCTTTAAAACTGGCCTGTGTTATGACATGAGGGCCTTGTTTAGCGTTATTCTGTACTACTTGTCAAAAATACAGGTACTGGAAATGTGGAAAAGTTATTTGAATACATATATAGTTGTGTTGGTAACTATGTTAATCTCAAAAAAAGAAGTAACATAGGTCAGAGTTCAGAAATCTTAGATTAAAAACTGATCAAAGAATAAGGCCCATGAAATATACTTGAGCTTAGTAACATAGCCTATTATTTCACGACACATTTTCCAGAGAAAGAAAGAAGGAAATCAGCATCCAAAGATCAACCTGCTTAGGTTAGAGTCAGGAGTTTTACTAGCTTCCAATGGTACCTGCAGACCTAAAAACACAAGGAGAATGTGAGCAGTATTTTAAAAAGGCAAAAAACTGGCCAGGCATCAGTGACTGATGCCTATAACCCTAGCTACCTGAGAAGATGAGATGGAGAGGATTGCAGTTCGAAGCCAGATGTGGCAAAACCCATTTACCTCAATGGGGAAAAAAAAAAAGTTGGGTAGGGAAGGGGGAGAGAGGAGGAGAGAGGAGGAGGAGAAGAATCTGGAGAGGGAAACAAAGAACTTGGAATGAGATAAAGTAAGTTATGTGGTTATCTAAAGCTTACCATTTTTAAAGATCTGAAAACAGTAGTCATTTACTCAGGAAACAAACGTGAGGATCACAGACCAGGCTGCCCCAGGTTTAAATGCTAAGATACCTAAAGCAGAAAGGGCTGGGGACATGGCTCAAGAGGTATAGCCCCTGTCTACCAAGCCTAAGATCCTGAGTTCAAACCACATTACTACAACAGGAAATCACCAAAGGGCTTTTAAATGACACAAGAGCCTATCTATCCCCCAACACAGGAATGAACATCAGAAAAAGGGAAGGAACAAAGAGGGTGAGGAGAAGGAGGAGACTGTATATCTTAGTGCTGAATGGGGAGCTGATAAGGTAGCTCTCATTATTCTGGCTGCCTTATAGTATTAATATCTTAACCCTACTTTTTTAATGTAAGAAAGCTTACATCACACACACACACACACACACACACACACACACACACACACACACACACACACACTTTATACGGAAAGTTTCATTTACTTTAAAAATTCCTACTTGAAACTAAAAGAAGAATTTCAGGGGGCTGGGAGTGTAGCTCAGGGGTACAGTGCACTTAGCATGTATGAGGCTCTGGGTTCAATCCCTAGCAAACCCCAACACCCCTTCCCCACCACCTCAAAGAAAAAGATAATGCCTGTCTCAAGAAAAAGATAATGCCTGTATTTCTGTATCTATTCTTTTTCTTCCTTTGCTATTTCACTGAAGATTTTCTTTTGTCTTGTTCCTGAACTGATCCTTCGACTTTGATCAGATTTATGGGAAAACGACCACTGAACTCTTTCTATTCCGAATCTCTGGCATCAACAGAGGGGTTAAGTCAACATTCATGTTCAATGTCACCATAGGAACTACTCATTACTACTACATGTCCTATTCACTTTAAAACTTCCTTTAAAAATAACATGAAACTTTAAATAATTAAATTAGTATTATTTCTCCTGCACCAAAATGTTGTCAAAAAACATGAAAATTACCCCAAAATTTATTAAGGGTAAAAATTATTAAATGAAGGGCTGGTGTGTGTGGCTCAAGTGGTAGAGGGCCTACCTAGAAAGTGCCAGGCCCAGAGTTCAAACCCCAATATAAACAAATGAAAAACAAGTTATTAAATCAAGACCCGAAACTTCATCAAACATCTGAAAAGTTAAAACATTTAGTGCTAATTCCTATTATCTGAACTTCGCAGCCATTAATACAAACTCAACTTAATACAGAATGGCTGAAAGTAGTTGGTAGGATTATTAAATTACACACTGGTGGTAGATTTTTGTTATCAGAATCTTCACAAGGACCACATTCAGAAACTCAAAATGATTCTAAAACCTATGCAAAAATAGATGTATTTTACACATATGAATAAAAAGTCCCATGGAAAGTGTAAATGTATGTCTTATGAAATTAAGAATGTAAACATTTGATGCTATTTAAGTAGTAGGTGTTTTTAAAATGTTACTGAATCTTCATAGGACTGGCATATACAGACAGGCATATGTGTACATTATGCAACTCTGCATTTATATTTGAAATTTTTATAGCTTTATGATATCATGGCACAAAGTCAATTGCTAGAACGCTGCTATACATAGCAACATCAGCATTCTACATCAGGTATTACACTGACTTTTAGTCATGCACCTGAAATGCACTGAGTGCTAGAACATTATGATCATGAACAAACAGAAAGATTCAAATTTGCTATCGATTCTTAATCCAGAGACAAACATGTTTATCCCTATTCTTGTTTCCTGTCTTTGGAATACCTCCTTATTAATAAAGCAGCCATCCAATTTATAAGGAGTGGAACAGGAACATAAAATGTAAAATTATCTTTAGTGTATTAAAAAAATACCCAAGCCAGGTGCTGATGGCTCACGCTTGTAATCCTAGCTACTTAGGAGGCTGAGACAGGAAGGATCACAGTTCGAGGCCAGCCCGGGGAAATAGTTTGTGAGACTCCATTTCCAAAATAAACAAGAGCGGCTGGCTAGGGGCTCAAGCAGTAATAGCACCTGCCTAACAAGTATGAGATCCTGAGTTCAAACCTCAAAACAAAACAAAAACAGAGCAAAATGGACTGGAAAGGGGAGTGAGCTAATCAATGTACAATATAAGCCTAATTGGAATTATCACTATTCCCCTTATATAATGAATGTATCTTAATAAGAAAAACTTTATAAAAAAATGGACTGGAGATGTGGTTCAAGTAGAGTACCTGCTTTGTAAGCATGAAACTGAGGTCAAACCTTAGTCTCACAAAGAAAACAAAACAAAACAAACCCCACAAGGGGCTGGGCACTGTGGCTCACATCTATAATTCCAGTTATTAGGGAGGCGGAGATTAGGACTGTGGTTTGAGGCCAAAGTCCCCCCAACCAAAAAAAGTTAGTGAGACCTCATCTCAACAAAAAAGCTGGGTAGTAGAACACACCTCTAATCCCAGCTATGTGGGAGGTATAAGCAAGAGAAACTTGGGTCCAGGTGGTCCTAGCAAAAAACCTCACACGATCCAAAACAAAAAAGGATGGGGAGCAGTTCAAGTCATAGAGCACTTGCTTTACAAGTGCAAGACCCTGAGTTCAAACCCCAGTACCACAAAACAAAACAAAAAACCCAAACAAACAAACAAAACCAGAAGTTTTTTAAGTGGTACCAGTTTCTTCTGACAAGAGTATAAAAATGCATTTAAAACTTTACTAGATAACATGCTGCCATCAAAATGGTATCAGCAGTTCTCTCCAGTTGAGAAGCTTTTCACTTACTTCTCAATTTCTTGTAAAACTGTTTATAATAGTTGGCTTTATTTTTTTTAACTCTGGTTATTTTGGAGATGGGGTCTCAAGAACTCTTTGTACAGGATGGCTTCAAACTGTGATTCCTCCCAACTTCAGCCTCCAGAGTAACTACGATTATGGGCGTGACCCACTGGTGCCCAGTCTGTTTATAGTTTTTAGTAAAACAATATACCTCTTAAAAACAGCTACTCATATAGCTTTGAGACTAAAAGTTAAAACAAGGTTTCCTGATTTCTCATTTGCTTGCTATCACGGTTCAAGAATTCCTCTGATAAACTTACATAGATGAAAACCATAAAAATTCCAGACACTGAGACATAAGAGAAGATATGAAAAGAATGACCAAAAACCTAAGAGTAGAAAAGGACCAGAGACAACATAACCATAACATAACCCTATACTATGATATTTTGACAGGTAGTATCCACGGTGACTTAACTCAGAAAATGTGATTTTTAGCACAAATCACCAACTATCAGTGCTCAGAAACTCCCAAAAGAACTTTTTCCATTTATCTTTCCTCTATTGGTACTAAACCTGCTAAATGTTACAACAAAGAATAAAAACCCAGCCAGTCAATGGCTTCCTTTTATGAACTACAAAGTAACTATGACATATTCTCTTATTCCAGCTTAACAGTTTCATTTGAGAGACCCATTCACCCATCACACTCCATATTCTACTACTCACTTTGCTGTTTTCTTTTAGCAAAAACGCTCTAAGTAGAAGCGTTCCAATGATCAGCACTAGCTAAAATGCTCTAAATAGAGCCACATAACCAAAAATGGAACAAAACTAGAAGGGTGTGTATTATTCTGGACACTATGTAGTTTTTATGAATGCAGTCTAGGGACAAATCAGCTTAAGCAGTAAACAGGGTTTTACTGGGCTTTAAAGGGTTCCTGTCAGGAACAGGGCTCACTGAATACCTTTCGAGCTTCTATTAAAATGACTCTACAGAGAAAAAAAAAAAAGAATGACTATACACTTGACAAAATTAATTTATCATTGTATTTCCTAATATTAAAGCACTCCCAGGATAAATTCTATTTGTTTATATAATGGCTATCATCTTACCATATAACTATATGACTTCCGAAGATTGATTTCAGAATTCTAATTATCTTTCTATGTGAGTCTGTTCTTCTGTATGGGTGGTTAAAGTGTAAAGTTGGTTTGGGTATTAAGGGTTATGCTGATTTTGTGGAAAGAGCTGGGTAGCTGCAATTTATAAAGGCTTTTTAAGCTAAAACTTAAATTTTCCCAGTATATTCTAAAGGACATCATTAAAATGCAAGTCTAGAATATAGCTAGCCTTTCATTTCCCTGATTCAACACTTTGGTAAACATTTCAAATGTTTATCATTTAATTTTCAGAAGTGTCAATCAAATTGGCTTAAAGGAGTAAAAAACAAACAGCACATCAGAAAACCCTCTTGAATTGTTTTCCTCATTTTGTTTCACTAAAAATAAAATCTCATTTGAATCAAATAGGTAAGAGAAAATATTTGCCCTTAGTAGAATGTATAAATCATACCTAGAATGTAAGTATTTTAATAGTGAAGAAAGCAGCTCAAAAGTTTTAATTCTTAGAAGTAAACATAAAAGTTATTTCAGGGCTGGAGGTGGGGAGATCAAGTGGTAGAACACCTGCCTAGCAAGCGTTAGGTACTGCCTAGCAAGCGTTAGGTACTGCCTAGCAAACCCCCATACTGTGGGGTTAAAAAAAAAAAAATTGCTGGGTGCTGGTGGCTCATACCTGTAATCTTAGCTACTCATGAGGCAGAGATCAGGAGGATGGAGGTTCTAAGCCAGACTGGACAAACAGTTCAAGAGACTATCTCAAAAATACTCGACACAAAAAAAGAGTTGGTAGAATAACTCAAGTGGTAGAGCACCTGCCTAGCAAGCGTGAACCCCGAGTTCAAACCCACTCCCACCAAAACAAGACAAACAAAAACAAATCTGAATGCTACAGACATATACTGGGAATGTAACTCCATTCATATAAAATGTCTAGGCTAGGGATGCAGCTCAGTGATAGAGTGCTTACCTAGCATGTGCAAGCCCTAGGTTTGATCCCCAGCACTGCAAAATGAAAACAAAAAACAAAGTAAAAATAAAATAAAAATGTCTACAACAGGAAAATTTGGAGACTAATAAAAGATCAATGACTGCTTAGATCTAGGGAGTGCATTACAATAAATTACAAATGAACATAACTTGCCTTGCATGTTGGAAACACTCTACAACTGACTTGTGCTGATGACTGTACTACTCTACTACTACTTAAGATGTGTACATTTTAAAGTATGTAAAAAAGAACTGGAAAAAAGTGGACCGACAGGCCAGAAATAAGATTAGTACACTCGAGTTTAGAAGAATGTGTTTATGGGTTGTCAAGATCTCTTTATGAAAAGCATCTTTTGTCAAACCCTCAGGCAAATGGTTTCTGCAAGATTGAGTGATAGACTACATATAAGAACACACCTACTTGCCCATATTATTGCCCTGGAAAGGATGGAAAGGAAAGGGAATACATTTTTATTGAGGAACTCCATGTTCCTGACATGAAGGTTATGCTCTTTCATTTCATTGCCTCATAGGAACCTGACAATAATCTTATGAGGTAGGTATTATTTAACCTTATTTTACAGAACAGAAAATGATGGTTTGACGAAGTTAGAGACTTCAGCCAAAATCACAGAAAAAGTGAACAAATGCCACAAATGAAATCTGCTCTTGTAAGATTCCTGACTCCACATTCCATTACTCCAGTGTTCCTCATATTGGCCTGCTATGCCAACCTTCCATACAAACAGGCTGAAGAATATAGCAAAAGGTATCAAATATTAGATAAGTAACTCATACTCTCACTTCCCAGAGATGTTGAATACTTTCTTCATCAAAATATTCCTATAAACAATGTGCTTACTTGAAAATACTTCAATGGAACAAAGGCAAATTAAAACTGCCTTCTACTGTTATGCAACTTCTCATTCTATCCAATGTCTCAAAGAGAAAACCCATCCCAAGAATAATTAGTTGCAAGTTTAATGAACAATAGTGAACTAGAAATTAACAAACCCTTTGGTTGGGCTGCTTTGTGTTTCTGACATAAAGATGCATTTCCTTTTGACAGGAGGGTCTTCCTCTTCATCAGAAGAGCTTTCTATTGTTAGATCAATAACATCCACTTTCTTCTTGCTTGTCTCACTGGCTACAGTCACTGAACAAGGCTTACTGAGGACACTTGAACCTGGATGCAGAGAACAGAAGGAAAACAGAAACATCAAAGGTTTAACACAAATAAACTCTAGCCATGGCAGTCTTAACTGTGCAGTATATCCATGACAATACACAGCCAGAGAAGCCACATACTCTGTAGATAAACAGAAACCAACTCCCTAACTCCAGATGTCTGTAAAATGCTTACCTGGGAAGACAGCAAGAGCGTTATTCCTTGACAGAGGTCAAAAGCCTCGTTCAGACAATGTGCTCAATTCTCTCCAGTACTGTTGCTAGACTTGTGCAGTTCTGCAGTTGCCCACACTGTCTTCCCAGTTTAGCAGTCATTGTACAGACAGACCTTTGGGGTCAGGGAAGCAGTCTCAGGCTATGGGACAAGAGTATGCAGTTTCACCTGCTGTGCATTCTCAGAGACATGTGGCACAGTTAAGTCAAAATCTGGTATTTTCATTGCAGCAAATTTGCTCATATCAAAGAATATACAGATGCTCACCATAAGCCACACCTTGTTAAAAAAGTTTCACCTAAATAAACTGAAGAGTCTACGGCCATACCACCCTGCATGTGCCCAATCTCATCTAAATAAACTGAAGGAATCTTAAACTTGACACTGAAATTACCCAGAAAGCTGTAGCTTTCCTTATGAATAACTTACTCCATAATCAAGATGCCTTATGCCAGACAATCTCAGATGTCATGTTATTCACATTTTCAGAGAAGAGTATATTATTCCCTGTAATATATTTAGTCAAAAATAATGGAAATGCAGCAGCAACTAATCAATTAAATTACTTCCCATTTTTTTTCAACCATTAGGAAAACCTTGGACATTGCACTCTTAAGTTCAGTGCCAATCACTGAAGAATAATTGGTATTAGTATAAATCCTGTTTTCTTCTCTTCTTACTCTGAAAATGTGTAATTGTTTTATAGAACTTCAGAGTCAGAACAAAAGTCAAACATAGTAAGTAGACTGAGCTAGATAAAAAGGGAAGTTTACCTACAGATTTCAATTACTCAACTATTCAGTGTGTATGGGAGCAGGGAACCAAAAAACCAGTAAACATGCTAGGTAACAAAGGCAATGGTAAAATCCCCTCATATTATTAATGTATGCTAAATAAAAAATTAAAAAAAAAGAAGAAATGGAAATCTGTTCACTTTCTTAAAACTAACCTGTGCCTACCCACTTCGAGGCCCAGTAGTGGATTATGTGACCTCCACCTGGGTTTCTGGCCAGATACTCTCAAAACAATTCTGAAAAACTGCTAGGATAGATGTGTTTTGTAACTTTTCACTTATAGCAAAAATCATATTTTAAAACTATTTTAGGTGACTTTTATTTATTTTCCTTATGAAAAATACATTATAAAAAGGCTATTAAGAGGTATACACTTCAGCACATTTCTTAGGGAAAGAATATAAAAATAATTTGGAGGGAAGTTACATGTGTGACAGGTGCTCAGAAGATACAGTTAGCAAACTGAACTCCAAAAGTAGTTCAAGACTAGCGATAATGCTGCACACGTCTCATCTGCTTTGCTCTATGCTGCCATTCTGCACATACTTTCTATTTTTGCACACGGTTGGCTGGATACTTTCATAGCTTCTTTTTTCGGTCTCATTGGACACCAAGAACCGTCTTCTTGGAATTTGATCTCATCCACATCAGAGCAGTCATTGAGAATTTCCATAAAAAGCCTATAAGCCAGTCAAGAAGACAGACATGTAATTAATAGATTTATTCAAAAGATGAAATAATAAAGTAGTATACGCTAGAGACAAAGTAAATCTTTATCTGACTTTTTGGTATTTCAGTATTTTACACTTCCTCCTAGGATCATAGGATTTGCATGCGCATGAGTGTGTGCATGTGTGTGCGTGTGTGTGTACACGTGGACGCATACCCAGGACCTTGTACTTGCTAGGCAAATGCTATAACACTCTGCTAAACCCCCAAACAGGTTCTAAGTCTACAACAGACAACACAAGAGTAAAGTGATTTACTGAGTACCACCTCAAGTATCAGTGATTAAAACAGAAACAGACACCTGAAGTCTCTTAGCTAGGACTGCGTTAGTAGACAAATGTTATTACGTAATAAATTTATATGCTTTAATATCAATGAAAAAGGAACATAGAGTGAGGGAAGTAGAAAGGAACAAAGAAGTCTCAATAAATTTATCTTAAAATAACTCAGAGCATACAAATTATTTTCTATGACCACATGAAGTTAAATTTGAAGTCAGTACCAGGAAATACCTAAATATTGGGAAACTTAAACAACACTGTCCATGAGACAAGGGCAAAATAAAACCAAAAGTATTCTGAATGGAATGAAAATGAAAATAATAATGAAATTTGTGGAGTGTAATTAAAATTGTACTGAAAGAGGAGAATTTATAGCACTTATCTTACCCAACTAGAAAAGAACGGGTGAATGGGCAGGTCAGAAATAAAAAAGAACAGAACAAAAATAAATGGAATAGAAAGAAAAAGAAAAATCAATGAAATCAAAGCTGGTTCTTTGCATCAATATTAAAACTGACAAACTTCTAGAAAGATTTACTGAAGCTCACTGAAAAAGAAACTTAAGAGCCCTGTTTCTACTGGATTTGTAGTTAAAAACTTTGTATGAGGCCAGCATTACACTGATACTGAAGCCAGACAAAAACATTATAAGAAAACTATGTATTAATAACCCCCCCACACACTTTGCAAAACAAATCCAATAAAAAAGATAATCATTGATGACACCAAGTGAAGTTTATCCATAGAATGCAAGGTCAGTTTAATGAGCCAAATCAATCAACATGATCACCAATATTAACAGACTGGTCAGCATAAGGAAGCAGGACAAAAAGTCACCTGGTTTCTAAAGAAAGTAGTAAAACTGTATTCACACATATTTGTATTCACATAGAAAACCCTATGTGATCTGTAATAAAGCTACTAAAACTATTGTGTTTAGGACAGTTTCAAAGTATGAGACCAATACACAGAAATCAACTATATTTCTATATACTAGCAACCACCAGAAGTTTCTTTAAGCGCTAATACATCAACAATATGAAACAGGGATAAATATGACAAAGAAATACAAGATACGCTGAAAACTACAAAATATTACTGAGAAATAAACAGATGTATCGTGTTCAAGGATCAGAAGACTAAATATTGTTTTGTTACCACAATCTGTTCTACAAAGTCAAGGCAACACAAATCAAAATCCTAGCAGATTTGTTTTTCTTCTCCCTAATGACAAGTCAATTCTGCAAATTTGTATGGATATGAAAAAGACCTATAATGCCAAGATAATTCCGAGTAAGAACAAAGTTCGGAGATCATAGTAATTTCCAGAGAATACAGTACTGATAGAGAGAAATCAACAGAACAGAGTCCAGAGACAGATCCACAGGTTATGTCCAACTGATTTTTGAAAAAGGAGCAATGACAAATGAGGAAAAACATCTTTTCAACAAATGATGGTAGAACAACTGACTGGCCATATGCCAAATAAATAAGCCTTGATCTTTATTTATACCATATACAAAAAGTAACTTAACTATGGGTAGACCTAAATGTAAAAACTGTAAGGCTCCCTAAAGAAAGCATGAGAAGATTTTTCATGACCTAGAGTCAGGGAAAAAAAGGTCTTAAAATGATAGCAAAAGAACAATCCACACAAGAAAAACTTAGTAAATTGGGCTTTATCCACATTAAGAACTTTCTAATGTGGAACACACAGAAATTGAAAAGACAAAGTGACAGAAAACATTTGCAAAGAGATTTGTACGCAGAATATATAAAGAACTATCAAAACTCAATAAGAAAACAACCCAATTTAAAAAATGGGCAAAAGTTTCAACAGCTACTTCAAACAGATTAAACATACAGAAAGGACACTGAGGAGGCTGAATACAACTAGCAATAAAAAATGCAGATTAATTTACAGTGAAGTGCCACTATATACCATGGCAATATCCAAAATTAAAGACTAAACAGCTGAGCATGGGGAGGCACACTTGTAATTCCAGCACTAGATAAGCTGGGGAAGGAGGATAAAGAGTTCAAGGCTAGCTTGGGCTCCATACAAGTTCCAGGCTGGTCTGACCAATACAGCAACAGCAAGACCCCTACCGCAAAAAACCCAAAGAAACAAAACCAAAAGACAAAAACCAAAAACCAACCACAGCAAATGTTGGTGAGAGTGTGGAATTCTCAGACTGCTAATGGGAGTATAATGAAAATGAACTGTTGGTACATAAAAGAAAATGGATAAATTTCAAGTAAGGACACTCAGTAAAATGGGAAAGACAAAGGAGGATGCACATGCTTTTCACACTCATATAAATTCATATAAATTCTAGAAAACCCAAACTAATCCACAGAAACTGAAAGCCTATCAGGTGTTTGCATAAGAAGTGAGTAAAAGGGAAAGATCAGTATTGTTATGCCTCCCAAAGGTGGCATATTTTACTGTACCAGCAAGTCATTCAAAAGTCTATCAATTCCTCCTGCCTCACCATGAAAAGAAACAAATCAAAATAATGCACTACTTTCCCCAATTAGGAAACTGATAGACATTTTAAAGGTAAGATTTAATAGGTAAAGCTAGTAAGAGAACTAAGAAGTGGGTAATACACCTGTTGGCAGGAAAGTGAATTGACATGCTGGTCGAGTAAAACAGTTTATACTTTTGGGAGGCATCATAACAATACTAAAGTCTTAAAATCATACATTTTCTTTGATTTAGCATTTCTAACAATTTATCTTAAAGAGAACTAGACACACTCACACACACACACAATGCCACCTCAAAAATGTTCCTAACACAATGCAACTTAAACTAGAAAAAAAGTACAAACAAATATGAAATATCTAGCTAGTATTTAGTAAATATAACCTAAAATATTAAGAGGAAAAGGGACATGAGAAACATATGAACTTCTGATGGTTCAAAAGAATTTTACAAATGGTAATATCATCTTTCTCCTACACACACTCATGCATACACCAAAAATGTTTATATGCATAGACATTGAGGTGGGATAAAAACAATTATGATCTGGGTGCCGGTGGCTCAGTTCTATAATCCTAGCTAGTCAGGAGGCAGAGATGAGGAAGATCACAGTTCAAAGCCATCAGTCCAGGCAAATAGTTCATGAGACCCTATCTTGAAAATAACCCAATACAGAAACAGGGCTAGTAGAGTGGCTCAAGTAGTAGAGCACCTACTTAGCAAGTGTGAGGCCCTGAGTTCAAGCCCTAATACTGCAAAAAAAACAAAACAAAACAAAACAAAAAAAAAACCACCAAGAATAAAAGCAATTGTGGCAGATGGTTAACAACTGATGCATCGGATCAAAGCTTTACCAGAAGTTTTTTGTGCAACTAGTTGCAACTTCTCTAAGTTTTAAGTTATTTCAAAATAAGCTAAAATACTGTAAAAATAACTCAGCAAAAGTTTAGAAAGGTGACAGTTTCATTCACTCTTTGTTGCCTTGTAGCTCTCCCACAGCAATACTCTTCCAAAACTTTAATAAAAAATGCTGCAGTATCTTTAAAGAACTAGAATACTTTCTACTATAAATTCAGTGAAAAAAATCACAGGTACGTTCAAATTGGCATGCAAAATTATTTCAATCTTATTACATCAATAACAAAGTAAATACCATAAATGGCATTGTTGATTACTTTATGTTTCATGACTTACATTTTCTAAATCTTACAGTAGTGCATGGATGACATTTAACATTTTTAAAATGTCATTTAAAAAAAGGATAGACACCTCACTTATTGAAAATTAGGTCATGTAACTTTCCAAATTCTAAAGTAAATAATATGATCCAAGTAATAATGTTTAGGATTTGGGCTCAAGAGTCAGAGTATGAATTACAGTTTCAAACTTACCAGTTATATAGTATGACCATATCTATCCTATTGCTTCCTTTAGTTTTTATCTTTTTTTCAAAGACCCTAATTGCTATTACAAGAAGTTTTAGGTGAGGAAAATGATACTACTACTAATCAGAATTTTTCCTCTTTCCTATGGACTTTTAACACCTAGGATATAAAAACTTGAAGCCAAGTGTGGTGGCTCAGAACTCTAATCCCAGCTATGCAGGAGGCAGAAATAGGAGGACTGTGGTCCAGGGGAAAAAAACCTAAGACCCTAGTAGAAAAATAACTAAAGCTAAAAGGACTGAGGGTATGTGGCTCAAGTGATAGACCACCTGCCTAGCAAGTAGAAGGTTCTGACTTCAAATTCCAGAACTGGAAAGAAAGAAAGAAACTTTTTGAGCATTAACGCGATGCTCAAAAACTTTCAAATAAGGGATGATCAAATAATAGTCTATGAAAATATCCCACAATCTAAAAAATTCCAAAATCTGAAATACTTATTCGTTTCACACATTTCAGATAAAAGGATACTGAACCTGTATAAAGATAAAAGAGCCACTAACCACTGTATGAAACAGAAAACACACAAATAGAATCTATATTAGGTAATACTGAACACACAGCCTATCAACTGTTAAAAGGGATATACTAGGCTGGGCGGCAGGTAGCTCAGTGGTAAAGCTGGTGATTAGCATTTGCAAGGTCCTGGGTTAGAATACCAGCACCCAAAAAAAGGAGGTGGTGGTAGATATACTTACCCATCTAATATCAGACTTTCATAGGCAGCTTTTTTGTCACATACGGGACAAATCCAGGTGGGCTTCTTCTCATTCATTTGTAGATAAAGGGCAGCATCAAAACACTGCAGATGTGTACAAGTCACTGCACGGCATGGGATTGTCAGCCTCATTTTTCCTAACTACAGGACAGGGAACAGAACATCAAAACCAGTTCAAATAAGAAAAGAAAGCCCCAAGGGAAAAAGAGACATTCTTAACAGTCTGAAGAAGCCACACAAGATGGTCAAAATGAAAAAGAAATTCAAACCAGAATTTAGTCCTATCAAGATTATTTTTTAATTCACTGGCTACCTATGGTTTTTGAAAGATCATTTCACTTTTTCAAAATAAGTAATGTGTAAATCCACAAATAGAAGACACATACATACTGAAACAAGACCATTATTTGTTCCCCAGTTTTCCTATGTAAAGAAACAGTTACCAATCTGTTCATGTCCTTTCACAGATTTTCTAAGCATAAATCAAGTATATACTTAAGAAAATATTTCCCTGCAAATGGTGACAATGCTTCACACAATTCTGCACCTTATTCTGTCACCTAACTTGGTGACTGTTACTCACAAATCAACATACAAAAAGCTACCATAAAGAAAAGTATCATAATTAGTACACTAGTAGACACTGACATTGTTTCCCATCTTTTACCACAACAAATAATGCTGTAAAAAGTACCAAGGAATGAAGTTTTCTGGGATCAAAGGGAGAGAACCTCTGTGACATTTGTCACACTGAAGAATCTACTGAATTATGTATACATGTTATCACTGACTCAACCCTGTCAACAGTGTTCTTAAATTCTTTGACCTTTACTACAACAGTTGTGAGCTACATTTCTCTTACTATAAGTGGTAATCGAGCCTTATTTCTTTTGTTTAACCTGAAAGAGTCATCCATGTTTCTAAGAACTGTCTATTCATAACCTTTACTCATTTTCTGTTTGGTCATTAAACTTTTGTTATCTACTTATAGGTGATTATTTGAGAGAAATCAGCTTTGTCTGTAAGATGTGTATTGAAAATATTTTTCATTTGTTTATGAAAATTCTTTTAAAAAATTTTTTTATTAGGATATATTCATTATGGGGGGGATTCACGATTAGACTTATATTGTACATTATTTACGTTGCCCCCATCTTCTCTCCCCCTGAACCCCCTCCCCAAATTATGAAAATTCTTTACTATTACATAATCAAAAGTGTCAATTATGGCTGGGTTTGGTGGCTCTCACCTGTAATTCCAGCTACTTGGGAGGTACAGATCAGGAGGATCAGTTTGAAGCCAGTCAGGCAAAAAGTTAGCTAGACCCTATCTCAAGAAGAGCTGGGCGTGGTGATACATGTCTTTAATTCCAGCTACATGGGAAGCATAGGTAAAAGGAACGTGGTCTGAGGTTGGCCCTGGCAAAAACGCAAGACCCTATCTGAAAAAGCACAACAGGGCTGGAGGTATGACTTGAGTGGTAGAGCCCATGCCTAGCAAGTATGAGGTCTTGGGTTCAAACCCTAGTACTGTCCCCATGCCCAAAAAAGTGTGGCTTTTTCAATGTATTTTTGTATAACTATAGTGTTCTGCTTAATTCTTATTCCAATTGGTTAAGATCTACCAACAGCAAGGCATACACAATACCTGGATTAGATCAGCTCAGGTTTTCTTATATAATACTTCAAACCTCACCATTATCTCAGTATTTAGTTTAGAGAATAATCTCTATTATAACCAACTCTTTTATTTCAACTAAAAATGTTTCTCCCACTAGATCCTAAATTTCATGTTCCCCACTATAATCTCACTGTCCTACCATAAAACTAGTTTCATAGTAAGTGCTCAGTTATTTGTCCAGTAGGTGGTAGAATAAATAAAAGCTAGAAAAACAGACAAAGAAAATAAGAGGGAAGATTTCTTTATATGTACCATAAAATCTATAATTCACAACAGAATTACAACATTCTTAACTCTGCCTAGGTGGTAGAATCTTTAGTATGGTTTTTTTTTTTTTGCAATTTCTAAGTTTTCTAAAATGAAAATTGGTTATTTTGTAATTTAAAGATCAACATAGCAGTAACTAATGTTTACCCAATTCTATCTACATGCAGCGTTGAGTGCTTTCCATTAATCATAACATTTTACTTACACTTAAAGTATAACTACACTACAAGGATGGTAACATGTAACATTGTCATCCCTATCTTATAAATAAAGAAACTGAGGCACAAAGAAGCCAAAGTACTGACTAACATATAAAGTTAGAAAATGGCAGAGCTAAGATCTGACCCAAGTACTCCATCCTCATCACTGTGCTATCCTGTCTCTACCTAACATGGAATCTTAAAAGTTAATCATCTGAGCAAGTATGCAGTACAATGTGACTATCATTTAAGACAGAAAATGGTCAGATAAAACCTAAGACAACTTCCCTTCTTATACTATGTGCTTGCATATATGCTATGGCATATTGTTTTAAAAGATTCTGAATATGCAAATCCTAGGCCGAGGTAACTTTTTTTTCTGTTTTGGCAGTGCTAGGGGTTAAACTCAAGGTTTCTCAGAGCCTTGACCTTCCTGGGCAGGAGCCTATCACTTCAGCCACTGCACCTGTATCTCTTTGTACATCTGTTAGCTTTGAGGTAAGGACTCACTCTGCAGCTGGGCTGGCCTGGACCTTGAGTCTCCTATTCGTACTTTCCCCAGAAGCTGGGAATGATAGGCTAGAAACAACAGGCATGCACTACCACTGGTTGTGATGGAATCTCGTGAGCTTTTTGACCAGGTGAGCCTCCAATTGTGATTTTCCCAGTCTTGTCTCCCAAGCAGCTAGGATTACAGGTTTGAGCCATGGTGACTGACCTTAAAATAGGTAATTTTGTAAAAATTTGTTTTTATGAATGAAATGGTGTGTAACCAATGCAACACTTCCTTTCTTGTAAAATGTTATGAGGACAGTAATCTAAGTTGCTATTTGTGCCATGGTACAATAATTAGTAGCAAACAGCGTATAAGACTGCCAGAGTGGCTCAAGCAGTAGAGTGCCTGCCTAGCAAGCATGAAGCCCTAAGTACAACCAAAAAAACAAAAAC